CCTTCGGCAATCCTCAGCCCATAACAACTGTTCCAAAGGCCTCTGCAGATACCAAGGCCTTGCTGCAAAAACTTGCAGGGAGCAATCTGTGTGGAACTCTCCCAGGGGCCTTTAAAAGTATGTCTATCCCCTGCTCTTATGTGCATCCTCTCGCTAGCTCTCAGCGAGCTAGCACAGGTATAAATAGAGATGAGAGCTGATGCGAGTATGCATACATGAGCTGCAGGATCAGACCCCTAGCTTGTAGTGTAGACTTAGCCTGAGAAGTAAATAAAGCTGTCTCATTCTGGGCCTGATCTTCAGCCCATTAAGTCAGGGGAAAAGCTCCCATGGCTTCAATGGACTTTAGATCAGGCCCTATTTGAGGTATATAATCTGGTATAAGGAGTCTCTAGGGTATACAGCTGATGTTGGGGGTAAGGCTGTCTGAGGCAAAACCGAAAAGCTGTAAAGAGCAACCACTGCAGATCTGTATTTTAAGCAGGGTTGTAAGTGTGGCAATGATTGTCTGATACTCCACGCAAGTGTCTTGAAACCCAACGTGTGGAAAGGTGGGCACTTTAATGCTGACATATTCAGTGGGTATGTTACTTCTCTATTTTTGACACTTCTGTTAGAATATTAATTTTTCACACACTAACGTACAGTCAAACACTAGGCATGCCTATCCTTTCTCGAAACAAAAACCAAAAAAACCCTAAAAGGTCAACAAATAAACCCTCCTCCGAATTTTCCTTTACAAATCAGTATTCTGTATTTATAAAGGAAGAATCCTTGCAAAACAAAACACTCTTTCCAGATAATACTGTCTCTTGTGGTGCTTAGCTTGCTGCTTCATGTTTAAGTTGGGAGAAATTGCCAAGATGTAAACTATAACTAGCATATTTCTCTCTCCCACATAGAGTTAGAATATTGATAGCAGATGCCTCTTGCTGCTTTTGCAGTTGCCTTGCAAAGCTTTTCATTCTACTCATTTGTTAATATCCCTCAGCACTGTAAGTCCACCAGTATTTCTTTTCCTCTAGATAAAGGACAATCTGAACATTTTATTTTGTTTTCAGTGCAGTACATTCCTTCTCTATGAATCCTATGTTATGTTCTTGTTATAAATGTAGGGTTTGTTAGTACTTCAATGGCCACATGCATGCTGCAGTACTGTACATGATACATCACTGTTTAGAAGAGAGCTGCACAAAAGGTTTGATGTGAACCACAGAAACACTCAAAATCAGCCTGTTCCTGTTGCTATGTGCTGTTCCCATGGAAATCTTTTGGTGTCTGCACGTTTACCTAAGCTGGACGTGACATTTTCCCCACTCTCTGAATCAAAGCAAAAAAAAAAAAAAAAGGAGGAAACTTTTTTGCAATGTACAGAGAGTTTGGAGCTGGATTGAAGTCAAGTGTTGAAGTCATATGGTACTTGTATTTGGTTCATTGACTGGCTGAGCCTACAGCATGATTCGATAGGTTAGAGAGACAGTTCAGTGTTTCCAAGGGAGAGAGAGGTTGCATTTAGTGTGTACTTTCCAGGTTACCCTGTTTAGGGTTCCCAACTTTCTATTCTCAGTAACCGAACAACCCTGCCCTGTCCCTCTGCTGAGGCCCCGCCCATGCCCCATCCCTTCTCCAAGGCCCCGCCCCCCACTCTCTCCATCCCCCTCTGTCGCTCGCTCGCTCTCCTCACCCTTCCTCAGTTGCTCATTTTCACCAGGCTGGCTCAGGGAGTGGGAGTGCGGGAGGGGGTGAGGGCTCCAGCTGGGGGTGCGGCCTCTGAAGTGGGGCCAGGGATGAGGGGTTTGGGGTGCAGGAGGGGGCTCCGGGCTCTGGGGTGAAGCTGCCTGGTTCGGAGTATGGGGGGGCTCTGGGCTGAGGCAGGGGGTTGGGGTGTCAGAGGAGGTATGGGCTCTGGGCTAGGGGTGCAGGTTCCAGGGTGGGGCCAGAAATGAGGGGTTCAGGTTGCGGAGGGGAGGGCTCTGATATGGGGCTGGGGATGAGGGGTTTGGGGTGCAGGAGGGGGCTCCTCACACTATATTTAAGTGTATTTTTGCAAGGGAAATCACAGACCCTTTGTCTCTGGGTTTATCTACCTTCTAGAGACATAGATTCCAGCTTCTGGATTGCTCTTAGATATCACTGCCTGGGAATGGCTATTTTTACTGACTGACATTTCTGCACCTCACATGATTCTAGGCTTAGTTTTGCAAGGAAATACAGTCCCTCGTGTCTGAAAGATAGTAAACTAAATCTTGCCGCTGAGCAGGGCTCAAAGGTAGGCAGAGGAGATTATACTGTGTTGCCTGGTTGCGTCTTGTGATAGCTGGTGTTTTACATAAAGCCCCACCTCCTGGAGCCATGTTATTACTTAAGAATCAGCTCTCATTGGTGTTTTTTTAAGCAAATGTCTAGCCCTCCAGGTTGTGGAGAAAAGTTTGAAAATGTGACCCAAGTGTACTCTCAGCTTAAAAACTAGAAGGCAAATAACCCACCCACCCCCCCCACCCCCGGCCAATATTTATTATTTTCAAAATCTTGTGATTTTTAAACCAATCTCACCTTTTTGGGGGCCCGACTCATGAATTTTGAATGCTTGAGTTGACAGTACAGACGCTAAGCCACCTTACCAGAGCCAGGGGCTGAACCTGTCATTGGTATGAGTTGGAGGGGTACAAAATGGATGAGTATAGTGACTCAGAGCCTTAGTGTGAGGTGTAATGAAGGAGGAGGGAAAGCCTGTTGATCCCTCACTCTGTGAATTAAAAGCTACTATTTAGCCGTCCTGTTTCCCATCCCAGCACGCACATGATACGAAAAGTTGGCTCAAAGGCCAGAGAGTGGCAATGATTCCTAAACTAGACCCTTTCAGACTCCCTCCTAGCATTGCCATCACCTGTGTCCTGTGCTGTGGGGGAGAGCACAAAATGGCCAGATAGCTCCAGCTTTACAGCAATGAGTTGTTCCGTTGCCAAAGATGCACCATGAACTTCAGCCCTGAAGCAAATGGAGTTACACGAAGGAGGAATTTGCCCCACAGGGACTCATGGTGGGCTCTGCACCGGTACCTCCCGAGGACTATGCCTTAATAACACAGTCTGGCCCCGGGAATACAAAAGCTCTCAGCCAAAGCTCCTCCTAAAAGCCAGCAAATACCCTAATAGTGGTAATAAAGATGCTGCTACCAAATGACTTCTCATTTCCATTAGGTTTTTGTTCTCACCATCTTGTATGGAGGAGGACTTATGTCACTTCATCCTCTGTTGCACCTTTTGTAATTCATGTAAAACAAAGACTGACGGAAGAAGTAGCGAGCAAGGAGGCAGTGACCTTGAGTCTGTAGCTCCAGAGAGCTCCCGGTATCCTCTTAGTCTGTCTCTAGCAGGCTAATTGCAAAACATTCAGCCAACGACTTGGTGTTAGGAATTTTCAGTTATCCAGGGATGGTTTAGATAATCCTTAGTCCTGCCTCAGTGCAGGGGAATGGACCTGTTGAGGTCCCTTCCATTCCGACATTTCCATGATTCTATGGTCTTCAGTGTGTGCCTGCAGGCCTGCAAACATAAGAACCAGTTCCCTGGGGAAATCGTATGAAATGGTTGCAAAACAAGTCAGGAAACTTTTGTCCAGCAGTAGTTTAGTTCACCAGGCAGTGCTCCCACCGTGGTTAGGACGTTAAGGGCCAGAGTGTGACAACCGTTATAATGTGTGCACAGGGGTGTACAAGGAGCATGCGTGCACACACTCACGTGCGTTCTCTTACACCTGAAGGGCTCTTGCCAGCACCTCCTACAGGAGCAGTCCCTTCGCAACCTCCGTGATTTGGAAGAGCAGAGCTTGCTCCTTCATCTCTTGGGAGCAAGATGCCAGAAAGAAGGTGCAAAGGGGCACAGGAAGCCAGCGTGTTGGAGCTGGCAATGGCTAATGCAACACTGCCCACCCCCTCTGTGCCCAGGAAAGCACCAGAGAGATCATGCCTCAGGCAAGCATAAACTCTTTGGTGCTCCTGCTGAAGGGGTGCGGACCTGCATGGCTCCCTGCTCAGGACTGTGGCATATATGCTTCATTCTAATCCTGTGACCATAATTGTGCACCCCTTACACATGGGAGCCTTTACTCATGCTAGAAGTCCCATTGAAGTCCACGGGAGAGTTTTGCACGGGTAAGAAACTAAGGGTTGCGCCACCAAGCTCCTCCTTGGTGGAATCAAAAAATCGGTGCGTTTTGCAGGAACACCACAAAGCTGGTGTTCTGAGACACTTTAGTAACTACACCCACTTCCTTTCCTCTCTCCTCTCTTTTATCTCCAAGACCCTTGCATGGCTTTCCCAGTGTGCTGCCACAAACAGGCAGTGCATCCCTGTTCGGCAAAGCAAGTGTAAGTGGCAGAGCCAGCAATAACAGAAACCTCCGTTCGATGTAAATCTTTCGGCAGTAATTTGATCGGGGATGCGCAGCTGGAGAACTTCACATTTTAAGTTTCCCTGGTGCAAGGGGTGGGGAGTAGGGAGAAATCAAGAAGCCAAACGCCTCCCCCTTCTCCTTTTTCTTGGCCACCAAGAATAATTCTGTTTGAGATGATTTTTTTTTAATGAAAGCCTCTGAGAAGTAATATTGCATCTTCAAACCAAACTGCTGAACTCGACTTCTTTTACCAAGCGCATGCAAAAATATTACTCTCCGGATTTTGAAAGGGCCCGGAGTGCCTGCCTTGCAAAAAACGGAGCTGCTAAGAGAGTCACTGGAGAGTGGTCTCGATGGGAAGCCCTTACACAGTGTGCGCTTCTATAAAAACTGTGTTATGATGTATATAAAATGAGCTGTGAAAGGAACAACACAGAAACAAGCCACAGGGAGAGGCACTGTCCAGCTGGTAATTTCTGAATTTAAAAATGCTCCAATCAGCATAGATCCATGTCCCAAGACAAGTCATTCTCACAAGACATTTCTCACCATCTGATTCGTCCTGCAGCATAACGGTCATACTTATTTTTCTGTGCTTGTTTCAGATGCCCCAGGAACAGTATGCACACAGGAGCGCCATGCAGAGCTCGGAAGGCCCGCAGGTATACAAAGTGGGGATTTACGGCTGGAGGAAGAGATGCCTCTATTTCTTTGTGCTACTCCTAATGATTTTAATCCTGGTGAACCTTGCCATGACCATCTGGATTCTCAAGGTTATGAACTTCACAATTGTAAGTAGGGGTTGCCAAAACGGGGAGTGAATATTTGGGGAGGCCAGTAGAATTTCTTTCAGGCATCATAGATAAGATACAGCTTAATGGTGTTTGGGTTCCCAAGGAACACATTATGGGCCAAGTGTGAAGGTCCTCAGTAATCTACTTCATCTCCTGGAGAGGGATTCTCAAGGCTGTATGCAGTTTTATCAAGCCTAGGCATTCAAAAAGCATGTGTTAGGTCCCCCAAAATAATGAAATTGGCTGAAAAATCATATTTGAAAACATGATAGATTTGGGATGGTTTTTACTTGTTATTTGTCTCTGTTTCTGAGCCTTTTTGCTTCACATTTTTCAGCTTTTCTTCCTGAGGGCTAGAAGCTTTTTTTTTTTTTTTTTAATGAAAGATGTGATTCGAACGTAATTACGTCTCCAGAAACTGAGTCTTTATGAAAAACACCAAAAAATTGTGTAACTTCTGAGAAAATAACAGCTGGCCATATTGCATATCTTATTTATATGAAATTAGTAGAGTGTCGTCTGTTCCTCTGGAGGCAGGAGTTTCCATCTGGTTCTCCTGTTAATACGTTAAGCAGGAGTTATCTGCTGACTGGGACCCAGATATAGGGCCCAATCCAACTCCCACAAAGTTCAATGGATAAACCCCTGTCAAACTTAATGGGAGATCTACTACGCAGGGATCCATTTCACCCTCTGGAGCCAGTTCTATTTACGCTCTTTTGTGAGGAGTTAACTTGTGCATAGACCTTTAGTGGGCCCTCTGCATGGGAGTGAGTTTCACCTATACAACACATGGAAATAGACTAAAAGTCAGCATACAGTGAAACATCGCACCATGACGCACTAAATCCACATATCAGGAAGTTCTGTTATAAAGCCACTTACCGTACTCCAGTTGATAAGTCAGCTGAGCAGAGTAATAATGATAGGATTACTTCTTGAGGAAGGGAGAACTTTGTCAAGCTGATCAGGTGGAAATTGATTAGGAGCATCAAGGTCTTTAGGAGGAGCTAACTTTGAAAAATGTAACCACAGAGCTATCTCATGGGAGAGCTGGCAAGATCAGATTCCACCTGGTCAGTTTCTTAGATCTGTGGGTCCTGATGTGAGTAGCACTTTTGAAGAATCTCATCTTTCTTTTTCCCCTTTCTTCACTTGATTCTGTCCAAGCTCTGATCAGCCCTAACCTACGTTATCTCTTTGACAGTCAGTGAGAGGCTGAGTAAATTTATTGTATCCAACAGACTAACTACTATGCCATTATAATTTGTCGCGCTCATATTCTCTAACAATTGCACTTTCAAGATGTACAGTAAATGGCAATGCCTACATACTGCATGTGTGCTTTGGGAGCAAAACATTTTAAAGCAATAATCTAGAAGAAATTAGCTATTACCCACAGTTAACTAAGGGGTGAGCCAAACTTAGGAGTGATTAAAGCTTTACCAAGCCAGTTATTTACTTTGATGGGATTAGTGCCATTATTAAGTAAAACTTGTGTCTTCTTATAGTAATACATTTTAGAAAATAGCTGCTGGGACATGAATTTTGCTGCAGTGTTGGAAAACTGCTCTTATCCCAGCTATTAATACCTGGTTGTAAGCCAGTGTTCTAACTCACCAGCCTATGCACCAAAGAACACTCGCCAGCCACTGGATTTCAGTCCTGTTTTCTTCAGAGACTCAGCTTTATTTCTGCAAAATAACATCAGTTCAACACATCAATCGTATCCTTTTTCCCTGGCCAGGGTCTTCTGCAGGGGCCTATCTATGCCCAATCCCTCTGTCTGTGAGTCTAGGTGAGCCTCTACTTCCTTCTTGATTATACTCTGCTGGGCATCTGCTTGATATGTAAACTGGGTTCTTCCTCCTGACCCAGGGACTCTTGCAGGAGCCTGCCTACAGCTCTCCAGCTCAACTGAGCTACTTGCTGGCTTGTATGAAGAAGAGGTGATCTTCAAGCTATCACCTGATCCCTGGCCTTACAGCATCAGTGAATTGGTCACAGGTAGGGCTAGGCCCAACTCCCCTTAAAAGGCCAGCCACTCTGTGACACTGGTTTTGTACCAGTCCCAGGGTACAATAGATTCCAATAGGTATTTAATTCATTCATTTTCATAACATGTAAGTTTAGTAGGCAGTGAACAGTCTGTGTTGATGATAATACAGGCTATAAATCCTGAAGCCTGAAAGGGGAACTTTTTGGTAGGGGTTTGTAAAACCTATGCTCAGGTATAAGGAGATAAGTTTGAATCACGCCATGAAATGAAATGCACATGTACACCAATATCCAAACTGTGTCACAGACACACAGCCACACAACCCAGGGGAATGCTGTGTTTCAGTGGGCACAGTACTTTCAATTTTTACTTTTGCTCCCAAGCATTGCAGCCCCGGATAGGTGTGTGTGACCCGGAGTGAATGAATCAGTCCCTGAGGAAAGAGTTCACTACTATTAGGTATCCGTGTAGAATCAGTTCTGTTACCCAACTGTCCGAGATGGGGTCTGGTCCAGAAACACACACATTTTTGGAGTCCGTTCCTCTCCCCTCCCATGCTCTTTTTCTCCTAGTCTATGAATGGGTGGGGCCAGTGAATCATGTTTCATGTGCCAAGTGCTAGGTAATAACATGAGAGGATTCCATTCTTATTAAATTAAACTGGCTCACTATTAAATCAATTATGTAGGAACTGCTCAAACTGCAGTTTATCCCCACCCCCTCCTTGTCATATGCATGACGCACAGAATGCCTGGTGTCTTTTCCAGACATTTCCCTTCTGCAACCCATGATCTTCCCTCCAAGTTCCATGAAGGTTGCTACAAGGCAGGACATGTGTTTTAGAGATGGAGGTTTGAAGTCCTGCCTGGATCTTTCTCCTCTGGTGTACCTGTTCCAGTTCTCACCGCTGAATGCAGAATGATAATGGCATGTCTGCAGTCCCCAAAAGGACGATGTGTTTCTGTTGTAAAGACAAAACTCTGTGTTGAAGGAGGAGATTTGTCATCTGCAGCAAAGGAAGAAGCACTTCTGAGTGGGGAGGAGGTTTTTTGGCCTTTGCCTGGTAGGCAGTGAATGAGGATATTGATCTGAGCAAGGCTGGCCCCTGAGAGAGACATTGCTGTGGCAGAAGCTTTTAACACTGCAAAGGAATTCTCAGAGTTTCCCTGAAGGAGAACTTAATCCTTCTGCCTGCAAGCTCTTTTGATAGGTGTTGGTGTCCCCAAGCCGGGGCAGACCAGCTTTCTGACTTCCACGGTGAACAGCTCTTGCTCCAGACTGAAGCTGGTGAGAAGCACCTGTGGGAGAGGATAACTGAACCTGATGGCAATGAGGCATTAAAGCAGCTGGCATGGCTGTCCCTGCTGGTTTGGTAGGGATCTGGCAGATTCACGTGGATGGGTTGCTGAGGGAAGTTCTGGCTCTGCCTGGTGTTGTGTCCTGATGCTGGAACAGAGAGAGTCGGGTGAAGCCAAGGAGACAGCACTGAAAACAGACAAGGAACAAACAGACGTGGTGGGTCCAGGCTCCTGCAGCCACTGCACTTCCTAGGGCTCTGCACCACTGCGTTGCAGAGCATTACAAGCTGTGTGTGTCGGAGGGCGGAGCTGCATCTGAGTTGCCCCGATGGGAAGTCTTCCTTTTCGGAAAACCCCTTTAAGGATCTCTGCACTAAATATATTTAGGGTCAATTTTAATTTTTAAATAATGAATGGAGTAAAATTCTCCAGCTAGTGGCTGCAGATAGGCAAAAGCCTTAATTTTCCCCTGCTCTGGTACAAGGAGGTGAGGGTCATTCTAGGGAGGCAAAACAATTTAGGCAGGACGTTAGCCACAGAACCTGACAGGTCTGAGCTACCTGCAGGGAGGAGGGACATCCCTTTGGCAGGCTGCCAGCCCTTCCAGAAGTAGGAGAAAGTTGTTCTTCGAGAGCTTGCTCATGTCAACTCCATTCTAGGTTTGTACATGCCCAGGTATGCCGTTGTCTGAACTTTTTTGCCTTAGCGGTATCCGTAGGGCTGGCTCTGGCGCCCCCTGGAGTCCCGTGCTCATGCACCAGCGTGTATGAGGTGCCGCCGGCCCTACACCCTCTCAATTCCTTCTTACCGCCCGTGATGTTTGGTAGGAGTGCCTTCCTCTTGCTTTGCAAGTGTGATAGTGGTTCTGTTGCCTACTGGTGATTCTCTTGTATATAGTTGATAGATAGTAATTAAGTGTTAAGTGTGACAGGTTTCAGAGTAGCAGCCGTGTTAGTCTGTATTCGCAAAAAGAAAAGGAGGACTTTTGGCACCTTAGAGACTAACAAATTTATTTGAGCATAAGCTTTCATGAGCTACAGCTCACTTCATCGGATGCATCCGATGCTCACGAAAGCTTATGCTCAAATAAATTTGTTGCATCCGATGAAGTGAGCTGTAGCTCACGAAAGCTTATGCTCAAATAAATTTGTTAATCTCTAAGGAGCCACAAGTCCTCCTTTTCTTTTTGTTAAGTGTGAGAAGTTACTAGTTTGTTAGAGTCCCAGCAGGGACTTTGCCCCAGGTGGGGCATGGCCCGGTCCCCGGGCTTCAAACCGTGCTACACTTGTGGTAAGCCTATGTCAGTTAGTGAGCCTCATAGCATTTGCCTAAAGTGTTTGGGGGAGTCACACACAAAAGAAAAGTGCAAAATCTGAAAGAATTTCAGGCCAAGGACCCAGAAGGAGCGGGATATTCGCCTAAGAGCCCTCCTCATGGAGGCCACACTTCACCTGGCGTCCCCTTCTCACCCCGCAGCTCTCCCCATAGAGCTCCAGTGACCTGAGCTCCACAGGGAAGTCCTTGCAATACAATGAGTGCACATTATATCCAGCAGGTCTGTTCATTGCACAGCAAACCTTCTGCTGGAGAAACCTCAGGGGTGTAATGAATGCTGATAATGGACAGTGGGGAAGGGGGGGGGGGCCCTTCCCAAAGCAGAGCTGTTCTTATGGAGATAACAATCTACTCCATTTGCACCA